GTTGAACCTTTATCTTTTGATTTTCTGGTCTGACTTTCTCATGAATCACTTTGACACCAAATACACTAGCTTGGCAGCTGGGTCTAGAAATCTGTGGCTCTATGACTTTATCAGCCTTAGCAACTTGAGTGCTAGGTCTTACAGAAGAGTCATCAGGTTCTGTTGAGCTATATCCAAGACCAAAACCAAGATTGACTTGTTGATCAAGTACTAATCTTTCCATGGAAGACTGGGCCTTCTGGTAGGTATTGTACTTAATCTCAAGTGCTTCTATTTCTCTTACTCTTTTAAGAAGAAAAGCATTTTCAGCTTCCAGTTTATCTCTCTCTTTAATCAAGAGATTGATTTTTATCTCAACCTCTTTTCTTAAGTCTGAGATTTCCACCTTTAGCTTACTATTTTCTTCTTTAACAGAAGAGTAAGTGGTGGATGGCTCTGAACTCTTCCCAAAACTCTGACATTGAATCAGAATCAAAAGCTAAGCCTACCGAGGAAAAACTAGAGGTTGAATCAGAAGTTACCTCATCATCAGATTGACCCATAAGGCATAGGTCTTCGGTCTCTATATCCAGGCAACAGAATGCCTCATCGGATTCTGATTCAGAACTGGATTCTGACTCAGAGAGGGGGTCCTTCTCTAGTTGTTCTGAAATGAGAGCTTTCCTCCTTCTGTGCTCATACTTCTTCTCTCCTTCTTGGCCTTGCCTTTTGGAGACTATGGGATGAGGACAGTTGGCCTTAAAGTGACCTGGTTGTCTGCAGTTGTAGCAGAGGAGCTCTCCACTACTTTCTGATGGCTTGGTTTTCTGGAAGAGCTTTCTGCTAGAGGATGGACTTCTGCCATCCTTGGGCTTCATGAATTTCCTAAATTTCCTGGCAAAAGCAGCCATATATTCGTCAGTTAAAAGAATGGAAAGGTCAAAGTTATTTACCTGTGAGGTGCTGGCTGTGAGGGCAGTAGTTGTTCTATCCTCAACTTCTTCTTTCTCTTCTTCATTCATCTCAAACTCATAAGACTTGAGATCTGAGATGAGTTTCTCAGTGCTGTAGGTCCTGAGATCTTTGCTATCTCTCACTGCAGTGACCTTCATCCTCCAGGATGAAGGTAGACCTCTAAGAACCTTTAGGTTAATCCCCTTGGGGGTCAGTTCCTTCCCAAGTTCTGAGATCTCAACAGTGAGAGTGAGCAGGCGTGCATACATCTCAGCTATGCACTCTTTGGGGAGAAGTTTGAAGTCTTCAAACTTCTTCATAACAATGGTCAGCTTGTTGTCTTTCTCCTGCTCATCACCAGCTCCTATCAGGGTAAGAGTATCCCAGATAGCTTTGGCAGAGGTGCACTTCTTGATCCTAGTGAAGTACTTGTCATCAATGGCTTTGTACAAGATGTCCTTGGCAATGTTGTCAAGGTTGTACTTTCTCCTTTCTTCATTTGACCACTCATGGCGAAGTTTGGTGATCATTTGAGGTAGACCACTATCAGCAGTGTACTGAGGATTTGCCTTTGTAAATTTTGTGAAGGGACCTGCATCTAGGACTTCCCACATTTCATCATGCAGGGCACATAGATGAGCCTTCATGCGTATCCTCCAGTCATCAAACTTGGTAACTGAAAACATCAGGTTCTTTGAAAGAGTGTTATCCATAATAAGAATTAAAGAGTCTAAAAACAAGTGGATCTTTGTTCAGGAAGTAACCTAAAAGATTACAAGAACAAGGAGGCTCTGATACCACTTGTTGGTCCCGTTTAAGTAGGGAACAATCTAGAGGGGTGTGTGTGAATAGACTGTTCTGATTTTTCAAACTTTCTTCTAAGTCAGAGACGACTTATCAGAGATGGTCTGAGTCTAGTGACAGAGAGGATCGAGTTCTGATATTAGAACTGGACTTGGCAGCGGATAAGAGTTCTGTCCGGGTAGCCTCAGGGAAACACTAAGGCAAGTGCCTTTCTGATAACTCTGAGAACAAGATCTGCTGAACATAGAGTCCAAGTTCTTGGGAGTTAGTTCAACGGCCGTGGAACTAACGGGAAATACCCTAACGGCTAGAAGACTTTCCATGTGAAGTAAAAGGACGTCTTCTGCAAACAAGGACGTCTCAAACTAGCTGGAGTAGTGAAGTGGGGATACTTCTAGGGACTCAGTGAAACGAGACCAGTCATCAGGAAGCCAGGAAGATTTTCCCGTTAGGGTATTAGCACTGAAATCTTCTAAGTAGCAGCAAGTCTGATGAGGTTCTCTCATAGTACTCTGATGACTAGCTCTGAAGGCAGCTCTGGAATCGAACTCTGATGCTTCTCTGAGGAGCAGCTCTGGTAGCAACTCTGATGAGTAGCTCTGGAGTCGAACACAGGTGCTTCTCTGAAGAACAACATTGGTAGCAACTCTGATGCTTCTCTGAGGAGCAGCTCTGATGAGAAAGTCAAGAGGGTCTCTGATGACTATGCTAATACTTACAAAGAAAATTCTAATACAAGATTTCTAATGGGGTAGTCTAAATTACTAAATAGCCTAGCATCATCAAAATCTAAGTACATTTATTCCTTACAGATGGGTTTCCCCCTACACTGTGTGTAGGTAAATCTACAGTTATGTATAGGGAATAACATTTACCCAAGCATGAACTAATTGTAAAGATGTGTGAATATCTGAAAGCAGGTAAAAGTTATTACCCACACATTGGATTATGTGTGGGTAATATTATATTACGTATTATTTACCTACACATTCATGTATGGATGAAATTTATATCACTTGTTTTTATTTCTTTTTTTAAAAATCGACAAGATGACATGGATGTCGACGTGGAGCACGATGTGGTTGTTGATGTGGCACATGACATGTTGAATCGGGCATGGCATGTTCAGTGATGTGGACACTGACGTGGAACCTTGTGTGGCATTAAAGTGGCACCAATATGTTCCGTGCGGTAAATTGTGCAACATGAGATTGTCCATATGTTGCTAATAAATCATTTGTATGTGTGGTTAATAAATTGTAGGGTTTAATGCACCAAACCCCCTTGTGATATTGAAATTCAGCGAATTAGCCCATGTGATTTAAAAAATGCGTCAAACTCTCTTATGTTTTAATTAATTATGCGCCAAATCTCTTTTGTGCACAAATTTAATTGTCAAATAAAAGAAAAATGATTAACATATTTGTATGATTCAGATATTTTGGCATATTTACTTGCATATTCAATCAAAATATTAGAAAACGTGATTTCCAAATCGTCAAATTTATTCATATAAGGGGTTCTGCGAATAATTAATTAAAATAAAAGGGGGTTTGACGCATTTTTCAAATCACAGGGGCCAATGCGCTGACTTTCTATATCACGAGGGGGATTGATGCATTAAACTCATAAATTGTATATGGGGGTCGGAGCTTCCTTATTGGTGCCTGTTGCGCTTGCCATGTTCCTTCAGCTTCTGGGAAATGCAGGGCCAGTGATGAGGCTCCGCATGGCCACTTCGATAGCCTCCGCATAGCGGCACCTTGGTGAAATGATTGAGCGGTGAATTTTCATTGTTCATGATTGAGAGAAAATTAACGCTCATTTGGTTTTCCTTTACTGTGGCTGGTCAAATCGATGGTCCAACCAAGTCTTGCTCGGTTAAGTTTCCATTGTTGGTTGCTGGTAGAATCGGTTATCCCTTTCCGATGACAGGTGAAAATCAGATCTTTCATTTATTTTTTTTATTTTTTCTTTGGAAAGAATTCATTGAATCTTTTATGTTCTACGTCTCATCTTATTGTAGTTTTATGCTATTCATTCACTTGTTTATTTGTTATCACTTAATGAACAAAAGAGTTATTTGGTTATAAAAAATACTCAGTAACATTCATTTTCTAGCTTAAAGCTAAGCTATTAAGAGTCTGTTGAGGTTTATTCATCCGAATTCCAAGGGTCCAACACTTTCTCTTGAACTTTCGTTGGATATTTTATGTGGATTGGTTATCTTTAGTGGGTTAGTTGATAGTTCAAAGGTACAACAGTAGAAGTAGTTAGCAAAAAGAGAACAAGACAATAAGTGAGCCGAGTTTCTATTAAGCACTTCATAACCATTACAGCACACCCTACTGGGCTGAGGGCCGAGCGTATAGTCTAAGTTGTGAGTACAGAAGATTAGGGAGCCAAAACTAGCGAATACAAGATGTCAATCGTTAACAATGAAATAAACGCTAATGCTTCCGTTCCTTAAAACTTTGCCAAAGTTGACCGACACGAAGATTAATAAAGTAAAAACTGTGTGGTTGAGGTTTGTGCAGAGGAGAGAGAAATAACAAAAACCGCTAAATAAATGATTAAAACGGGAAGTGGCAAAGTTTTTCGAGACATCCCAAAAATAAAAGATGACAAAGTTTCAAGAAACGAAGGTAGTACTATTTATACTACCATGGGGTAGGTGGTACCATAGTAGTAATGACGTGGATGACCATTAGTGGCTAAACCCCCAACCACTAAATTTTGCATATTGGGTGAGTGGGTGACCAAAACTGAGCCTTCTGGGCGAGACCCCAATGCTTGCTGATGGTCGAGCAACCCTTGGGCCTTAACGGATCCCTGGCCTTGATTCTTCATGGAGTAATGGGCCGTCATTGGGTTGGGCCAATTACCCCAAAGAGTCCATCTGATAACTGTTATTTTCTATTTATCAGTATTATCGGTCATTTTTATCAAATGAATAACTTTTTATAATCATTATAATTGAGTTTTAAGTTAATTTTGTGATTTAATTGATCGAATTTACTGTAGATGGTGATTTGAGTTATTTTTTAATAATATTTATTCTTTATTTTTTATTCAAAAATAAATTAAATATAAAATTTTTGCAAACCATCAAATTAGCCATGTCATTAATTTCAATAAATTTAACTCATTTAATCATATGGATGTATTAAAAAAATTAAAATCTTCTAAATTTAACGATTTAAAGTTATTGGCCCAAAGTGTTTGATCCGGTCCATGCCCAAATCTAGAATAACCTGACCCGACTTCCGCTTTATACACCGTTTCTCTTCGGTGTACCAATTCATCCGATCTGCCATCTCTCTCTACTCAGCCAGACGGTCGCACGCTATATTGCTCTCTTCGTTTCCGATCTCCCTTCCTCTTAGGTCGGGCGCAGTCTACACCACGTCGTTCGTCTAATATGTTGAGGTTAGTCGATTTTTACTATCTGTCTTCTTATTTGATCGCATCTTGTTTTGTTTGTCCTTATATATCTTCTTATATCTTTTCAGCAGCGAATAGATCAAGCTCAGAGGGTGTTTTTGAGGTTCGTTCTTTATCTTTTCTTTCATTTTCCGATTTTGTGCTTTACACTGTATGAACTTAAGCGTTTTTACTCACATTTTCTGCATTCCGAAACATTTTATGGGCAAAGCTATCTTTCTTCCATTCACATCTAGATAAATGGGGATTGCATTTGCTTTGTTTGTTGTTTTTCTGTGCAATAGTATTCCTTTTTTATTTGATTCAAACTGTTATTTGTCTGTTATTTCTCTTATAAGGATGTGATTTATATTGGTATGCATATTATGTAACATGGGAAATCTTTATAAAAAAGTATATGCGTGTCATATTTTAAAAGCTATACACTAAACGATATGTACATATTCTAAACTATAGATCCATTCACACTTTGTATCCTCAATTTCGAGTTTTGTTGTTTAAAAATTGTTTCACCTTGCTTTTTTGATTCAAAGTATTTCTTTTTTTATGACTGATGTCAGGATACAGACACATGTATCCTGAATTTGGGGCTTAATTCTTCAAGAAAAATTTCAGCATGTACTGGTATGTGTGTGTGTCTATGTATATGTACATATAATTTTGAAAGCTATATATTTAATCCCTATAACAGCTATACATACAGAGATATATACACACCCACATACACAAACATATGCTCGATTTCTATTCCATTACCTATATAAAGGTTCTGCATTCAAAGGCACGTTTCTAATATAAATGCATTTGATTGGATTCATCTATCTATACACTACATATATGATCGTGTTCATCTACCTCATTCGATATTCATGTATTTGGTTCATTACCTGAGCATCAACGTTTGATTATTCCTCAACTGCCTGTCTGCATCTTATCTTAAGTGTTATATATATATATAAAGAAATCTGAACATGAGTTCTGTAATCATTTATTATACTCCGAATTAAGAAATCTGTGTTTTTTCTTTCCTTCTCGTTAACTATTGCTTAGGTAAAGGTGAATTTATTCATACATGCTGGACTGTGTTTGTCTGATTTCTTCAGTCAGTTTTTATTGGAGGGATTGGCCAACCAAACTGAGATGACAACACATGCCCCCATTTGTCAGCATGTCAGCATTTTTTTAATTTAGTGAATAAATGAAGGGTGCACAGTTAGTCCTCCGACATGGAGGTATTTGGAAGTTGGAACTATTTGCTAAATTTATAAAACAGAAACTAAACAAAAACTTTAGTTAAATCTTGATGCCTCACTGTAGATCAAAGTAAGCGTGGATGTGATGGTGTTATTGCCCTTTTGACTCATGTTTTCCCCCGGTTTTTAATTTGTTGCCTGGGTAGCTGGTTATTGCGTCCCCTAGAGAACACATTTGTTCACAGTTGGTCATGGAGGTTAAATGCATCGCCTAGTTATCTTGATGATATGATGAATTGATCATCTTTTTATTCAATGGAGTATAAGGGTTATCATCCTTTCAATTAAATTGTACAGCCTGATTTTTTTTAATGTGAATACAGTTTTTAGGAGAAACCTAGTAGAATAGTAGCAACAAGGAAAGATGGTTGCACAGAAGATCGAAACTGGTCACAATGACATTGTTCACGATGTGTCAATGGATTACTATGGGAAACGGTTGGCGACAGCTTCATCGGATGGCACGATCAAAATAATTGGCGTGAGCAACAACTCCACCTCACAACACCTTGCCACCCTTACTGGTCACCACGGTCCAGTTTGGCAGGTTTCATGGGCCCACCCCAAATTTGGGTCCTTCCTCGCTTCTTGCTCCTATGACGGTAAAGTCATCATATGGAAGGAAGGCAATCCGAACGAGTGGGTGCAGGCTCACCTTTTCAGTGATCACAAGTCCTCTGTTAATTCCATTTCATGGGCCCCTCATGAACTTGGGCTTTGTTTGGCCTGCGGATCTTCTGATGGAAACATATCGGTTTACACGGCCAGATCAGATGGAGGATGGGATGCCACAAGAATAGACCAGGCCCACCCTGTCGGGGTTACTTCGGTCTCTTGGGCTCCTTCGATGGCCCCAGGCGCTTTGGTAGGGTCTGGAGCGCTCGATCCCGTCCAGAAGCTCGCATCCGGCGGATGTGATAACACCGTGAAGGTTTGGAAGCTATATAACGGTGTTTGGAAGATGGATTGCTTCCCTGCTCTTAAGAAGCATGATAACTGGGTGAGAGACGTTGCGTGGGCCCCCAATTTGGGACTTCCGAAATCAACGATCGCTAGTGCTTCGGAGGATGGTAAGGTTGTGATATGGACCATGGGCAAAGAAGGAGATCAGTGGGAGGGTAAGGTGTTGAATGATTTTAAGAATCCTGTTTGGAGGGTGTCTTGGTCTTTGACAGGGAACTTGCTGGCTGTTGCATCTGGTGATAACAGTGTCACATTATGGAACGAAGCAGTCGACGGGGAGTGGCAAAGGGTCACAACAGATGACCAGTAAGGCTTTTGCAGTTTGTTGTTTGGTTGGGTTATGTCTCTGTTTCAATAGATTTTCACCGGATTTGAGTTGGAATACTCTTTTTTTGTTTATTGGTTAAAAGTTGTCCTTTGTTTTTTTTGTTAATGTTGGGACTAGGGATGCCTGTTTTACCCACTACAGGGGTTGAAGAAATTTGGATGTATTCATACTCTTTGCCTTGTTTTATACTACGTATAAAATCTTATGACTCAAGTTCAGGGTGTTTTGTAATTGCTTAATTACAAACATGCACGCTCACTAACAAGGAAATTTGCAAATGGCACAATAGTGAACTATCTGCTTTTGATATTTCAGAACAGGTTGCTGGGACATCGGAAGGGTCAATTCTGAGTCTCAGGCTACCCAAGCGGGCCAAGCCCGGTCTAATTACCCATAATATATTCAAACACTATCGTAGTTGATATTTGATTGTAAAAATGGTGATAAGATCAATTTGGCACATCTAACAGACATGCATCCCGGATTCCTGGGTAGTAGTAAAGTCCCCAATCAGCAGCCGGGGGTGGGGGGTAAATGCGGATGATCACGATTGTTGTGTGTGTTCATTTATGACCCTGAACAGACCTATGGGATATCGGCACCACAGATTTGGTAGTAAAATCCCCAATCAGCAGGATGTGTGTGTGTAAATATGTTGATCACGATTCTTGTGTGTATTCATTTCAGTCCCTGAACAGAACTATGGGATTTGCTTAGTCATGGACCCGGGCCGGTTCCGGTTCTGGGCCAGGCCCGGCCGGGCTTTTTTTTTGGGAAGGAAGGCCCGGGACCGGCCCGGGTAGCCACCGGGTCCGGTCCCGGTCCGGGCCGGGCCGGGCCTCCGGTTCGGTCATAATTTTTTTTTTTTTTTTTTTTTTTTTTTTTTTGCTTTCCTAACCCCCCCACTCACCCCTCCAAACCCCTCCTAACCATCAAGCCCAACCCGGCTAACCCCAAAAAATGAAAAAAAAAATAAAAAAAATCAATTCGGCCCGGGCCCGACCCGGCCGGGCCGGTTCGCCAAATACAAGGATAATGGATCTATTGATACACTTTTGTGGGCATATTTTCATTTAAAGTTTTATCTAACAAGTACATCACTGTGATTTTGAATTAAAAGTGGTCTTATGATTCTTACCTATCCATTTGTTTAGAGCATTGATCAAAATTTGTTCTCATTTTCATTCATTAGCTATATTTTTGATAGAGTATATATGGGTTCGGGACATGTCCCACATACTTATGAATACACAAACAAGACTAAAAACTACTTGAGTACCCCTCGGTAGGGCCCCTTAGGCCTCAGCCACTTCAAGGCGATTTGTATTTGCAAGACACCTCCTCAACCAAACACAAACACAATAAAAACGCAGGACATGATGATGATCTACTCCTCACATCGACACCTCTCGACTAAGAGAGATGAGGACTTCTGATAGAGTATATGGGACATGGCCCACAGTCCACATGGACACACAAACAAGATTACAAGATTACAAGCTACTGGAGAACCTATCAGTTGGGGCCCCTCGGCCAAATGAGGACCACCCACACAGAAATGTTCCTAGAAATGATGAATTCCAAACATGAATCCAGTATCTTAGCTCAATAACATTCACAATGGCATGGCTTCCTGAGCTTGGACGCCTCGATCTGGTCACCTCGACCTGGGCCCATAGCAGATAGCTTTCATGTTATACTTATTAGAATAGCTTTTTATAAACAACCTTTGAACGACCCGTTATTGTAGCTGGGTCTCCCAGATCCAAACCTGAGAGCCCAACCCAAATTCCTCTATAAATACCCCTCTTGGGGGCATGTGTAGGGGATTGAAAAACATTGAATGCAAAGATCTTTCTCTCCCGCTCCATCTTCTCTCTATAAATATACTCTATCAACTTTGTTAAATCGACTTTTGTGTGTGTGTGCAGCGGTCGCTTGTGATATACTTGACGTGATTCCCATGCCCCTATTTCACTGCAAAAAAAAGCAACTTAGAATATATTAACGTCCCTGCAAGGCGAGGGTTGGGGGAAGTGTTCCATCAATATATGAACTTGTGATCTTTCGATTGTGATTGCACCGTAACAGATGCATCAAGTCTACCTTTCCCCATATCTATTTCATTACTCGGCACTAACGAATTCACCAATCATGATTTAGTTAGCGATTAACATCAAGTAATAATACTAATTTTAACATTTAGATCTTATGAAAAATTATTTTTTCCAAAATCGAGTGTTATAGGCAGTGGCGGACCCACTAAGGGTCCCACGGGTCCCGGGACCCTGTCGACTTCCAAAAAATACCTACATTTATTATATATATATTATTATAAAAAATGAACAATATAAGAACAAATAAAACAAAAACTACCAAAAAACTAGAGGATGAAGCAGCAGGATGGTATCACGCGTCATTTTTAAAGAGTTTGCATCTCCCGGGAGGTACCTTGTTCGAATCTCCCTGCTGCCCTAACTTGTTTATTTTTGTTTTTAATTTGTTTTAAACTTTTATTCTAAAAGACAAAAACTACCTCGTTTTGACTTTTTTAAATCCCTAACATATAAACAATATTCCATAACCCGTCAATCAAATACGGAGTACATTTTATTAAAAAGTGTACCCTAATAAATCGTCGGTGTATTCCTAATAAATCGTCACTATTAAAAAGTGTATTCTACCACCATCAATAAAATAAATTTTACATGATTTTTTTATATATTTTAAATATTAAGTAAATAATGGATAAAATAATTTGAATACTCCGAAATTTTGAGGGTGTAAGAAAAACACTCCAAACTTAGATATCTAATACAGAGTATAAATATCCCAAATTGAAAAAAAAAACATAACACAATGATCATATACCTTTTCTTTCACAAATGTAAAATTATAGTATTGAGTTAATAATTTAAATATTCTAATCAGTTTTAGTGTGAAATTAACATTATAAAAAAAAAGTTCTCCTTAAATAATTTAAATATATTTTTTGTAATTTTTATATTAAAAAAACACATTATGATATTATAAATTTAAACTCTCATTAATTATTGTTTACTTTTTCTGGTTGTAGATTGAATTTTATGCGGAGTATGTAATTGCAAAATAAATTTTATAAGTAATTTTGTGCGTTATACTACCTTAATATTTTGACGATGTACGTTTACTATGAAACATTATGTTTTTTTAATGTTTTACTTTATTTTTTATTAATTGTATATTAATTAAACTTACATTATGTTAGGGACCCCATGACCCAGGTTTTCTGGGTCCGCCACTGGTTATAGGTCGTGAATTTGTGAAAACAATAGCACAAATAAATACGGTGTGAAGTAAATAAAGGAATTAACATAGGTCTATCATACTCATTTGAGTAATTGAGTCCGATATTGACACTAAAATAGTTTAAAACCGAGTGCTATAGTTTACCTAATGTCGTGGGTGTGTGAAAACCATAGCACAAATAAATACGGTGTGAAGTAAATAAAAAAAATAAAGGTAAGGATGACAACATAATTTATACTAATTCAGTGGCCTTTACATACTCTAGTACTTAAAGGAGCCCCCCTTTAGGATAGGAGGTGCCACAAGGGATAAGTCTTGGGTCGAATCCCGACAACTGCGATGAGAGATTACTATGCTAGAAATGCATAGGACCTCTGCAAGTACCAGAATCAGAGCTTCACTCTCTATCTGCTAGCTTGTGATTAATGTTCAACTTGCATCCTCCCAACTAACTGTCTGGTCGCTGTTGGGCCCCCCGCAGGGATGTAGTGTCATCCTTTTTTTAAAGAACCCCCTTTAGGACTATAAAATTAACTACTTGTAGTTTTCCTTGAAATCGAGTAAAAGTACTACTTGTTGTAAACCCTCAAAGGGATCTCTTTAACCTTTGAGGATTTACGAGTTTTCTTCTATCCAAAGATTTGGTGACGACTCTCATTTACCGTATACAATAGTGTATTTGCTT